AAAAAAAAAACTGACCTGAAATTTCTTTCCTGCCGACTCACTGAAAGAATCTTTCACCTTTTCCTCAGATTCTTCTTCTTTTGCCGTACGATCACTTGTCTTTGACGTTGCCTCGAATAGCTGTTGATGACTGCTCGAAAGTTTCTCCTTAAGAAACGTCAAATTTGCAGATGTATACGAAACGCACGATGAAGTCGGTGGTGAAACCTGAAAATGAAATGATTATAACAATGCGATTTTGAAATTATATTATTCACTGAATATTCATCAAAAGTGACGAAGTTAATCAACAACTACATTGCTTCAAAAACGACTTTCATCTATGACAAGGTCAAAACGCATTCATACAAATCCACGGTACCAGCCCATATACGAAAATCTCGATGATGAACAAAGCTTTTCAATCTTCCGTCATCACTCATCCTCATCGCTGCACAACAGTGTAATGAAAAAAGATCTAGACATCCTGCGAAACAGATCGAGAATAAGGTGAAGCGAATCACTTTTCACATGAATCAGAATGATTTGAACAGACAGTTAAAATACATCACCTGTGAAGCGCCGCTTAATGTATATGAAGGCTGTGTTGATTGTTGTATTTGACGGAATGACTCAATTTGGTGTTGTTGTTGTTGAATTTGTTTTGGTTCGTGCAATTCAGATGATATATTTGTGTTGGGTTGTTTCGATGCTGGATACTTCAGCGTTGCAACATTAGCTGTTTGTTCCCTGGACAGCTCTACCTCCAATGTTACCGAATAATCTGCAGTAAATTGCGTTGTTGTATTGCAGTTTGCTAATTCAGTCTATTGCATAAGATTATTCATCAGTATTTTCTAGGCTAGATGACAATGCATCAACTCGATGCATTAATCACCGTTATTTGCATAACAAAGCAGCACAATGCTCGTTTTGCTACACACACAACAATCATGATGCTCATGTTCTATGCAACAGCACAACTATCTGTTCATTTTTTCAATAGACCACCAGAAAGTGACTCATTTAACAGCTATCTTAAACGTAACACACGCTCGTAAACGACTTTTCCATACGAATATGCAGTTCCACTTCATATTCCGTACATAAATCAATCATAATTGTGAACGTTTCATTAGCCAAAACAAATCGTTGTGTAAAGTTTTAGTTTCTAGTAAAATAGCCGCTGAACGCACTTGGCTGTTGTGCTTCGCTAGACGGTTGTTTTGCAGTTGGTTGCTCTACTTCGGATGAAGCGTTCTTGTCGAATCTCTGAAATCACAGGAAATTTTTCATTACCTTTTCAACCCAAATTTATGTTTCATGTGCTTTTCTAACTGCTCAATTTGACATGGAATAAAAATTAATTCGCTCCAGTGGAATCGATTCAAGTTTCAACGCTGCGTCAATGGTTCATTAAAAATCTC